AATGCTAATATCTGAGGGATATGGGTGAAAGGTAGACAGGGATTGTGCTATTTTTATAAGTCTAAAACCAGTTAAAAATATTTTTTAAATTATATTAAATTAATGCTGGCTGATATCCAGCCTTCCCAACACCGGTTACGGAGGGGTCAGCTCCAGCTCCCACGGCCCCTGCAGCATGTTCTAGTACAACCCTCACCTCATGGTATTGTCGGTTTGCACGGGTATCTACTGCCAGTACTGCTCAACAGAAATACACTGAGGCTGTATGTCATTTAAGAGCTCTTAGTAGCAGGCCAGAGGTGGCGTGGTACTTAAGGTGCTAGACTTCCACATGGCTGATCATGGTTTGAGTCCCAGACCTGGGGCTTGCTTTCTTAATTTCTCTCTCTTTCTGTCTTTCACTGCTGAGCACACGTGCCCTATAGAAAATTTTAAATAATAGTAAATAATTCTTTCAAAAAGTATTTCTTAGTAGCCACAACAAAAAAGTAAAAGAAAAAAATCAGATAAAATTAATCTTATGAATATAATTTGGCTAATCCAATAAGTCCAAAGCATATCAACATGTACTTAATATAAAAAGGTATTGAGATGTTTCATATTCCTGTTTTTTTTTTTTAATACCAAGTCTCCAAAAACTGGCTGCATTTCATAGGTGCAGGATGAACCCTTGCTTAGCTGCGGTCCAGACACTTGGGAGCCGGGGTGGCTGGTGGCTACTGTCCAGAGCTCCGCACACCAGGGGCTCCTGGCGCTGGGAAGCCGTGCTGTGCTTCTATGTACCCCATCGCCACCGTGGGCGAGACTTTACGTAACAGATTTACGAGGGATCCGAAACAAACGCCGAGGGGAAGCTGAGCTCCACCCCTCCTCTGAGGAACTTACGAGCCCAGCGGATCCGTCCTTCTCCATCTTCTGGCACGGCTCTTTCTCTACGCCTACAACACAGAAAGTCATTTTTACAGTTACCCCAAGGAGCCAGCTCCTTTTCCTCCTGGTCAAAGATTCCTGAAAACCCAGTGTCGGCCCAGCTACGAACACACCACCAGCACGCCGAGACTTCGGAAGGCGCGGGGCACTGTCAACCCTGTGCCCTACAGTGGAGAGGAGTCCACCGTGGCGGTGGCCGGCCAGCCCTGCCCAGACATGCTCATCTTCAGGTGGAAAACACAGCACGGCTGCCCCCTGGTGTCCACTGAAAGTTCGGCAGAGGGCTGTGCGAGTCACAGGATTACTTTGGGAAGAGGAAACCACAAGGCTGAATGTGATTTTATTACCGAGCCTGAATGAATGGTAAATGCCAAACCGGGGTTGCCCTCAATTCATTAATGTGGTAGATCAGACAAGGAGCTTTAAATGTCAAGCCTGCAAAACTAAATTCATCATCCTTTCCACACCCTTCAACCACGTTCCCTGTCTCAGGTCTGTCTTCCACTGTCGCCAGCAGTGAGGACTAGAAAAACCAGAATATGCACTCAGAGGAGAAAATGCAGCACTTGAAAAAGCACACGGAATTCTAAAGCCGCAGTGTCCCATATAGCGGTATACGGAGGATTAACTACTAGCCAATCATTAATTATTAAGAGCGCAAATGTGACCACACTCCCCTGGACCCAAGCTTCTGAAGCCTCCCCACACATTCGAGATCAAGCCCAGGTCCCTCAGCTCGGCCTCACCCCCTGCCCTGCACCCAGACCCTTCCCGGTCGCCGTGTGACAGTCTCGCTTCCAGGAGAACATCTACCTACGTCCCACCCACCAGGACCCGGTGCCACGCTCAAGTGTCCCGGGACGCACTCTCTGACCCACCTAAGCTCCTGCTCCCCCCGAGATACGGCTCAATTACAGAGGACCTGCTGCTCCAAACAGTTCTGCTTTTCCAGAGATCGACCTTTCACGGACTCAGCTCGGCTCGGTAGCCCTCAGAGCCATGGCTCCCGGTGTCAACCTCTGTCAAAGGAGATTCTCCCAGTGGGAAGAATATCATTCAGAGGTTCGAGGATGGCCTTGAGCAGTTTGTAACAGCTGCCTTCTACAATGAGTACACCAGCCAAGAGCTTGGGGATGGGGAGGGTGGGAGACGTGACAGGGGCACACGGCTTGGGAGGCCCGGAACATGTGAAATGGGCCTCAAGGTGGGCAGGGTTTGGGCCGGAGATGGCAGAAAACACAGTTTCAAACAGAGGAAACGAATGCAGGTCTGAGTACTCGGGACTGCCCCAAGCACCTGGTACAAAGTGGTGTCAGGGGGATGGTGAACCAGGCCCGTGAGAAAGATGTCAACACAGAAAGAGGCCTTGGATGAACTCTGGAGCCACCCTGGCGTGTTCATCGGACAGACGGAAAGCTGACCCTGGTGTGGGGTGGGAGGGGTAGCTTGCTCAGAGTACGATTCTCCCCTGCTCCCCTGATTCAACAGCACATTGTACTTTCAAATGCTAAGTATAAGAACCCACAAATCATGTTGCTTACAAAGATCTGTTTTAATAATGTGGAATGTAGTGAGGAACATGGTTCTCAACTTTCCCTAAGCAAAGTTTAAGGCTGCAGGTATAAATTGGGACTTAGAAGGGGCCTCTGCTCCAGAATGATCTAAAGAGTCCCATAGTAAGAGGCTTCAGGCCAGGTTAGTCTAGGTTCTTCGTAAGAAAATTAAGAAGGCTCTTACAGGGCACTGGTCAATTTCAATCTTTTTTGGACAGGAAAAATGTTAATAGCCTCATATAATGATAATAAAAATCATCTTTTCACACTTTAGCATTGCGAGTGAAAGGCCGGACCGCCTGGGTTCAAATCTAGGTCTACCATTAGCTAGTGTCAGGTTTGGAACATGCTACCCCACGGCAGAGAACTTCGGCACTGGAGCAAACAGCAGAAGCAAGGAGTCCCTGCCCTTTTCCCCTGAAGCAGGCCATGAAGAATTCTCTGCCCTTCCCCTGAAAATAGGTCATAAGACGCTCATTCCAAGGGGTGCTTTCTGTCCTGGAGGAAAAGAACATCCTTATCCTCAAAGACGAGAAGAATGTGAACCAACAGGCCGGCTAAGCTCCCTCTGGTTCACTACCTGCAGACCCAGCCTTTCACCTCCCAGCCGCACCTCTGCACCACTGCCCACCGAAGCACAGTTTGGCCTGCTTCTTGGGGTCTCCGTTTTGGAACACCCCTGTGCCACTCAAGATGTGTATTCCATACATGTGTCCGCCCTTCCCTTGTTCATCAGGCACTTGCCATAGAGGTCTCAGCTATGACACCACAGAGGCGAGGAAAAGACCCTGACTTCTCACTGGCTGAGTCACCTTGGCCAGGCTATTTAACGTCGTGCCTCGTTCCTCCGAAGAACGGAGAAAGCGCAACACCAAGGACGGATGATGGGTGGTGGCCTGGAAAGCCCTCGGGACGAGGCCCGCACATGGAAAGGCTCCACATGGGCTAGCCGTTGGTATCTGGGCTGATTACATACCCGAAGTCAATGTTTGACGTAGACAGGCCACAGGTATACAAAATCATGAAGGGTTCAAGCAGTCTCACACACCAGCGTCCCTGTGCCCCGGCCGCTCTCAGCCCATGCCCCTAGCGCCTGGGTAAGCACTTCCGTGTCTCTTCCAGGGAAAGACGTCCACGCCCAGCAGTCCTCAGTCTCGCCTCCCGGGGCCCAGTCCTCTAGTCTCTCTGAGCGCCTCCTGAGTTGGCATTCGGGGCACCTCTACGCTTATACATATTAGAAAGGTGAAGATAAGCTTCCGTACCTGCTTCTGAGGATGAAAACGCATGATTTATGGCAGACACGGGCACATTGGAACATTCAAAGTACTCCAGGTCTTCCTCTGGCTCACCTTTCACCTCGGCCCCAGCTGATTTCTGACCACATGACGTGGACGCCAGTTTCTCCTCGTCGGTTGCGTGGCCATCCCTGTTAGAAATGTCTGAAACCTGGGAGATCACTGCTTCTTCATCCTACGGAGGATCACAGACAAGACGCTAGCCATTAAGAGGGTGAACCACGGAGGGAAGCGATTCCCAGGAGTGGAACACGGTGGCCACAATTCCGTACAGACCTGCGTTGAGCAAGGTCAGTACTTAGAATATGCCAGCTGGTACACATTTTGCAGTTGTTTAAACTTATGCTGAAAGTCTTTAGAGTCACGTACTTTCAAGTTTCTGGTCCAAACTGTGCAAGATAAGAGAGACTTAAATTGCACTCGATTAACCAGTATATTTCTGCAGTCACAGTTCTGTTAAAGATTTGATAAGAAAAAGAAGGATCTCACTGCAATCAGATGGGCCTGGGTTGTGACTCTGCAGTTGTATTTCTCAATGAGTTCATATGGTCACGGACAGGTACTACTTAGTGCTAGAATAAAACAATGGTTTCCATTTTTATAATGCTAACCAATAAGAACCCTGACTCATGTAAACAAGCAAATGAAAAGAAGGAAGTTTTGAAGCAGAAATGCCTCTGAGTCCTTTGAACCTCTTTCAAAGAATTTTTTTAGAGAGGTTTTTGCTATAGGGTGCATGTGCTTGCCAGAGAGAGAGACAGAAAGCGAGAAATCACCCCTACGGGGGACGGCCATGCTGCAATCCCTTCTCCTCCATTCTCCTCTCAGGATCTTGGGCACGCACACACGCCCAGCGTGAGTTTAAGCCACCGGGTCCGGGACTCAAACCGCAATTGCCAGAGAGACAGACAGAAAGCGAGAAATCACCCCCTACGGGGGACGGCCATGCTGCAATCCCTTCTCCTCCATTCTCCTCTCAGGATCTTGGGCACACACACACGCCCAGTGTGAGTTTAAGCCACCGGGTCCGGGACTCGAACCGCAATCGACTACATGGGAGTCCAGCAACATAGCCTTTACACCAACTGCTGGTCCCGAACCCCTTTCAAAGAATTTATATGTCAAAAGCATGTTCTCTTCAAAAATTATTTTTATTGATCAGCTGACGACTCAGGTCCTCTTTTGAATGAAAGCAATGCACTGGAACACCATCTGATTATAAGAAACATTGCTATCCGTTTATCAGGCAATTGCCTTCTTGGCGCCTGTACCAACAGCTCAGTCGTCCTATGTTTGGTCTCCAGAGGTTCTCCCAGCCTGTGGTGATGCATCTTTCCAAGTTTCAGAATAGAAATTTAACCCCCTTGGGGTCAGCAGGTAGCATGCTGGTTAGGATGCTGGACCCCACAGGGGTGACTGCGGTTTGAGTTAGGGATCTGGCGGCTTGTTTTCTCACTTACCCGCCCAAGTTTAAAATAATAATAATAATGAAACCAGAAATGATTCTTAAGAAGAAGGTATTTTACCCCAAAAAAAGTGGGAACAGGGTCAGTGTAAAAGGATTCCTTTGTCTTCAGGGACCTAGACAGATGATTTTAGGGTATGAAGGACCTAGAACTGGCTTCCTGAAAGCGGAGACAGACACCCCTTGAGAAGCCTCTGCAAACTATCCTCAGGGAGGCAAGCACTGCCCACCAACCCTCCAGTCTGAGACCCCGGGGAAGGCGTGGAGACCTACCTGAGAACACGCATCCGAGGTGAGAGGCGGAGTTTCATACTTCTTCACCTTACAGCCACTCCTGGAAAGAGAACAGACACAACAGGCCAGTTTGGAATCGCCGTGGGGACTCTGAAGCGTGGGATGGAGCAGAAAGCGGTGTGTGCAGACAGAAGCCAAAGCACACGGCACCACGCAGACCATCCCTCTGCATGTCCGAGACGCGGACGCCTTTTACGTGTCTGAATGGCCTCCCAGGACGCAGGGCACGCGAAGAACACCAGCTGGGCTCGCTCCCTGCAAGGACCACCTTGCTGGCTTCTGTGCGTAGTCAAGCACCTGCACTCTGACCCTCACGGATGTCCATTCCACACCACTGAAAGCCTTTCAGACAGCACAGCCTTCGCAGCTAGACACATTCGGGCTTTCTGATCCTTACTCGCTTGGCTTTGACGTTCATTGGAAAAATCATCACACTGGGCCACAGTCTTTAAAAATCCTTTATTGGACTAAAGAAGCCTTCCTAGACAGCTCCAGCCTAGACTCACGTGCCGACAGAGAAGAGCCGCAGTCACAGGAGGTGTGAAAATGAGAATGCCTGAGTGAGCGCTCATTCCTACTTATGGAGTAAGAGGGAAGGTGGGTACCCCAGACCATGTGAAGCCCGGAAGCGGGGAAGCTTAGGTGTCACCTGTCCTTTTCAGACAGCATATGACTTGGGATCCTAGGACTGATTCAGATTCGCTTCTGTTTTAATGAGCTTAAAACATTTTCAATAAAAACACCACTCTGACCAAAAGAAAAAAATAATTTGCAAGTTTTTTTTTTCTTTTGGGGAAAAATCAGAAAGACAAGCGTATAAAATGCCTGAGTGAGCGCTCATTCCTACTTATGGAGTAAGAGGGAAGGTGGGTACCCCAGACCATGTGAAGCCCGGAAGCGGGGAAGCTTAGGTCACCTGTCCTTTTCAGACAGCATATGACTTGGGATCCTAGGACTGATTCAGATTCGCTTCTGTTTTAATGAGCTTAAAACATTTTCAATAAAAACACCACTCTGACCAAAAGAAAAAAATAATTTGCAAGTTTTTTTTTCTTTTGGGGAAAAATCAGAAAGACAAGCGTATAAGTTACCAGAATGCGTGGTTACCAGCTCGTGGCCGCTCTCCCTAACGCTCTCACTACGTGCCACTTCGGCCACCGTACTCGACTGACTCAGCAAACCTTCCAGCAGCTCCAGCAGCCTTACCCCATCAAACAAACCCTATGGAACAAGTCAGTTTTTTCCAGCATTACACAGCAGAGCAGCACCTCGGACCAGTCTCGGGGCCAAGCCAGCTCTCGGTATCGTCCAAGCACCACGTGACGCGTGCCAAGCCAGGGAGCGCAAGCTCTGGCACCTAAGAGGGGAGGCTGACGCCCACTCCTTTAGGTACAGGCGATGGCAAGGCTAAGCTGACCGTGAAGTGGCAAATGAAATGCAAAATAAAATAAAAATCAGATCAAACTCAGAAACAGAAGCCCACATGCCATGGAAAGACGGCGGGAAGGGGTGGGACAGAAAACTGCCAACAGTCCCAGGGACACACAGAGACGACGGCGAGAGTACTTACAACAGAAAACAGAGAAATTTCACTTGCTCAGTAGTCCTGATGCACCAACAAAACCAGAGACAGGAAAGAGACAGACAGATGGAGAAAAAAAAATCATGTAAAGACTGGAGTATTTGTCTCTAGTCTGGCAGATGTCAAAGCTGCCCGGCTCCTTCTAAGACGTGAGACACTAGTTCATGAAGGTCATCGCTGGTGAGTAATTTACGAGACCAAGCTCTAAGAGGAAGAGTGATAGAAATAGCCAGGAACGCCACACGTTCGAATTTATCAATGCAAAGCGAATTTCCAAATATTTATAAACGTATGAAGATGATGCGCATCTGCTCTTAAATGTCTACTCATGCAGATCAGAGGCAGCAGATTAGAAAAATACGAGTCTAGCTGGTTATCTTTTCCATAGGCGTGTGTCACTAAAGCTTAACATGACTTCACGTAACTTATCCTATTTGGCCTGAGAAATCCCGTCATTTTATGGTGTTTATAGACAGAGTCTGAGGAGCCGGTCATACGTGTCTTACGGAATGTCACGTGGAAGTCTTAAGTCTCCACGAGGGTCCAGCACTGAGTGTATAGTTTGTCATTTCTATGTTTTTCTAAGCAAAAATGTGCCATGACTTTCCAGACAACCCAATGTGTTTTCTGTCTTTACCATACATGCAAGGATTTGCTAACTCAAACCCCAGGGTCACCAAAGAGGTCTTGCTCTCTTTTCTTGCAAAAAGATGAAGACAGGAATTTTGATTATGTAACAGAACTTTTTTTAATCTATGAGGTATACATCAAGAGGGTCGTCTGACCAACCAGAATAGAAGGAAAAGGCTACCAGCAGAGGGCGGTAGGGGTCAGGAGAGAGGGTGCCTCTTGCTACTGAACATCGTGCAGAATAAGCTTCCCTCTCCCCTGGGGACCAGATTTAATCTGGCCCAAAAATACGAGTCTAGCTGGTTATCTTTTCCATAGGCGTGTGTCACTAAAGCTTAACATGACTTCACGTAACTTATCCTATTTGGCCTGAGAAATCCCGTCATTTTATGGTGTTTATAGACAGAGTCTGAGGAGCCGGTCATACGTGTCTTACGGAATGTCACGTGGAAGTCTTAAGTCTCCACGAGGGTCCAGCACTGAGTGTATAGTTTGTCATTTCTATGTTTTTCTAAGCAAAAATGTGCCATGACTTTCCAGACAACCCAATGTGTTTTCTGTCTTTACCATACATGCAAGGATTTGCTAACTCAAACCCCAGGGTCACCAAAGAGGTCTTGCTCTCTTTTCTTGCAAAAAGATGAAGACAGGAATTTTGATTATGTAACAGAACTTTTTTTAATCTATGAGGTATACATCAAGAGGGTCGTCTGACCAACCAGAATAGAAGGAAAAGGCTACCAGCAGAGGGCGGTAGGGGTCAGGAGAGAGGGTGCCTCTTGCTACTGAACATCGTGCAGAATAAGCTTCCCTCTCCCCTGGGGACCAGATTTAATCTGGCCCTGCAGAGCTCACTGGCTATACACCTTCAGCATGCCACCGAAAGGAAGGCTCCCACCTTCGCAGACAGAGACTATTCCACATCTGGGGAGGAAGTTCCCAGGCAGCGACGTGCCCAGCACACGCCTTCTACACTTGAGTAACTAAGTGCAAAAGCCTCGAAGGAGGACTGCAGGAAACTCAATACTCCCAATAGCCATTTAATAATCATTTACAGTCAAAGAATAGATAAAGAGCTGGCAATGACATTTTATTCCCCTTGGACACTCTGGGAGGTATTCGGGGCCTGCCGGAAAGTAGATGCCTACATTGTTTAAAGCTTCCTGGTCCTGACATCCCGTTTCCTTTCTGGTGTAATTCACCATGCGACCTGCATGGTCTTCAAGTCAGAGTGAGGTTGGAAACCATCCCCCAACTCCTCTAGAGTGACAACTGCCACACGGCGCCTCTCTTACTCCCTTTCCCTAGCTCATCCTCCATGTCACTGGCCTCTCTGAGGTTTAGTAAAATGTCACAGGGTCACAACGGGATGTACTGCCAACGCGTCGACTTCAAGTGCTGTGTGACGCTCATCCTTAACAGTTAAACTAGAAACCTGAGTGGGACACTGCAGGAGGGATCGCTCTGAGCACTCCAAGGACCTTGCAAAACCCCACCCAGGCTTCCCAGGAGGAAGGAGATGGCAGGAGGAAGGGCACCCACGAAACACTGATCACTTAAAATACTTGTGATTCTTATCGGAAAGTCACCTCCTTGATGATGAGCCAGAAACCATACACATGAAGACAAGAGTCACCGCCAGCTTACAACAGTGGGTTTGTTTCCAACGAAAATCACGGTTTTAGGTTTAAGTGAAAGGACCTGCGAGGCCCTCTTGGCCCACCCTCCAAGTTACCGACACTCGACGGGCACTGTGCAGGTGTGGGCTTTCTGCACACGCACAGAGTATGTGAGGATGGTGCCCTGCATGGGGCTGGGACTTCTGACAACCGTGGAGCCTACACCTGCCTATTCCAGGCCTGCTTTCCTCTCGGACCCTAAAGGGTATACCGGATGGGGAGGAAAGAGTTTAGCTGAATAAGCCAAGAATTCGGTCATAAGGCAGAAATTGGAAAAGAAAACCTCTGGTTTCCGATTCCACACAGGAGTGTGGCAGACTGCCGACGACTGTGGTCTAACGCCCTCGGCGCTGCACCTGCCCCGCTGCACCGCAGAGATAAGTCCAGCTCTCAAATCGCTAGCCAGCTGCAACTCAGAGAATACACAGAACACAACACCCAGTGCCGTGGTCACTCACGTTATTAAACGCGACTTCGCCTTCTTGGGTGACTCTAAGATTTCATTAACATGATTACCAGTGGTAGGAAAGTCACCGCTTGGTAAGGTCGTACTTGGTTTAAAGGGATCCATGGATTCGTCCGAGTTATCTGGGTCAAAGTGGTAGGTGCCCTTAGAGGAGAGAGGTGGGGAGTTCTGCAGAATGGAATGGCTCCCGAAGGGGTCACAGCTGGGCGCATCCCAGGGACCAGCACCTGGCTTGGAAGATGCCGGAGACTGGGGGTCCCCTGCGGCTGCGGCTGTGGGCTGCTCCACCCCTGAGGGCTTACGGACGCCCTCCTGCTGCACCTGGGGGGCCAGCCTGGGGCCCGATTTCCCTCCAGGTTTCCTCGGAAGGGCTCTCCGGGTCTCCACGCTTTCCACATCCTCTGTGAAATCAGACTGGAGTCTGAGAGGTGAGCTCCGGGACTCTTCCAGCAGCTCCACCCCCGAGTCGTTGTTGTCACTACTGAGAGCTCCTGACGTTCCTGCGTCCACGTCCAGGGTAGGGGTCTGGAGCTCAGTGCCTCCTAGCAAGGAGGGATGTGCGTTCTCATCTGATTCATGGCGACCCAGTTGCTCGGATGCCCTGGGGAGAGGCGTGCCCTCCTCAGCCGTTTCCGGTCCCGAGAACTCACCCCCGAACGTTTTCTTCCTCAAAGAGACGGGCTTGGGCTTCCTTAGCTTGCTCCTGCTGGCCACGGGCTCCGCACAGGGGTTCCCGGCCTTCGGGTCAGCTTCTGGGGGGGCTGTAGGTCCAACCTCCACGCTGCCATCTGTCACTGCCTCTTCCCGGAGGGCTTCTAGGGCAGGTACAGCCTTGCCAGAGACAGCGGCTACGTAGCCGGGCGCTGCTTTTGTTCCCAGGGAGGTCTTGGTTTCGATTGAGAAGGGCCTCACTATTGAAATTTTGCTAATGTCGTGTTCAGGTTCCTCTCTGAAGTTCTTCACGGGGTGGACGTCAACGGCCTTCTGGGGAACCTCGCTTTTCGGGGGTCTCGCATGAGTCTCAGAAGAATGCTTTTCAACCACTTCTGCTACCAGCTGTTCCTCAGCTTCTCGTGGTTCTAAAACAAAACACAAAAGCCACCGTTAAAGGCTTGTCCTTCAGCCTCAGTAAACATGCTCTACCACTTTGAGGGGCCTGGTCTCCCAGACCCAGCTAGACATTCGTACCGTGAATCCTAGAGTTGGGCTTGCTCCTAGCTCCGTGTGCTATGCGTCCTGCCTCCCTTTTCCGTGCGGACGGCATATTCGCCTGTCCTGTGCTTGCGTGGGTGTGTGTACGCGAGTGTGACAATCAGCGGACTTACTCGGAAGCCCGATCTGCGCTTCCCATTTGAACTGGGCATAAAGAACCTGCCCTCCCACAGAGAGGTTAAATCGCCGCCAGGTCTTGGGGAAGTGGGTCGCCTCTGGTTCAGTGTGCCAAAAAGCAAATTTTCAAAAGTAGATATAGGGCTAGCAGGTGGCTTAGTGGTCAGGGCGCTGGACCACCCACATGGTCGACTGTGGTCTGAGTCCTGGACCTAGCGGCTTCAAATTCATGCAGGGCGCACGTGAGTGAGTGCTCAAAATCCCAAGAGGAGAACAGAGGAGAAAGGTTTGCGGCGTGGTCATCCCCCCTAGGGTGGGTGTATTTCTTACTTTCTGTCTCTCTGTCTCTGTCTCTCAGGCAAGTACACACAGCCTACAGCAAAAATCTCCCCACACCAAAAATAAAAGAAAGAAAGAAAAGGAAAGGGGAAAAACGGAAAGGGAAGGAAAGAAAAGCAGATGCAGTAATGGCTTTGAAAACAAACAGCCCTGGCCCAGTTAGGTGGTGTGATTAAGGCAGCTAGATCCGCCATGGCTGGCAGAGAGGTTGGAGGACTAGACCCAGCAGCTCGAAAAACACGCAGGGCATGTGCATGTGCATTCCCAACACATCCTGAGAGGAGGATGGAGAAGGGAGTGTGAAATGGCCATGCCCGGGAGGGCGGTGCTTTCTCATTCTCTCTGTCTGTCTGTCTCTCTCTCTCTCTCTCTCTCTCCAGCAAGCACACTTGCCCTATAGCAAATTAAAAAAAAAAAAAACAAAAAAAAAAGCAAATGACCTCCATTTTACTAAGACACAAATCTTCAGAACCTCTGTCTCTAAGCTAGGCCAGGAATTCTCTTAATCACTTGTGAAAAACAAAAATCCTTTTTAACTGAGGTCTCACTAGGAGAGAAGCAGCAACCATTAGGACAGGACAAATTAGAGAACTGCTTTATTCTTTAATTTTATTTACTTTTTTTTTTTTTGCCATAGGTTGGGTGTGCTTGCCAGAGAGAGACAGAAGGAGGGAAGTGAGGAGTGGGGATGGCCGTGCTGCAGTCCCTTCTCCTCTTGGGGCTTGGCATACACACACGTCCTGGAGTGTCTTCCAGGCTGCTGGGTCTGGGACTCCAGCGGCAGTCGGCCACACGGGATCCAGCACCTTAACCATCATGCCACTCGCCGGCCCAAGAGAAGTCCTTTAAGGTGCCAACTGTGTGCGTTCCCGCCCTGATGTCTGAGATAACAATGGGGGAGCAGTGAGGAGGAGTTCACTGTTTTTATCACAGTATCCTGAGATTTTAAAGGGTACTCAGAGATGACCCTCTAGTCCTACCACGGGCCCAAAGACCTGCGCATCGCTGAGGTAGGTTTTAAAGTACTCACGGCTTCCTCATGACTCCCTCCCGATTTACTTACAAACAACGCTTTGCAAATGTCCAATTTCAACTTAGTTCTTAAATACATGTTTAACTATTACTACTACTGTTTTTTAAAAGTTCTCAGTGCTTGATATCTGAGATTTACTTTAACAGATTTCAAAATGAGCTTTTGAAGAATTATTTTATTTAACTTTATTTATTTATTTATTTCAGTTTGACCAGAGAGGGACAGTGAGAGAGAGAAAGAGCGCGCGAGAGAGCACGCGAGCAAGTTGCCAGGTCCAGGACTTGAACTGCAGTTGGCCATGTGAGAGTCCAGAGACCCTGACCACCATACCACCTGCCAGTCCTTCAAAATGATTTGTTTTAAAGAAGAAATGCAAGGGCCAGCAGGTGGTGTGTTGGTTGACGAACAGGACTCCACATGGCTGCAGTTCAAGGCCCAGACCTGGCGGGCTGCTTTCTCACTTTCTCTCTCTCTCTCTGGTGAGCACATGTGCCCTATGGCAAAATTAAAGAGTGATATAATGATAAACAGGGACCAACAGATAGCATAATGGTTACATTGCTGGACTCCCACCTAGTCAACTGTGGTTTGAGTCCCGGACCCCATGGCTTAACTCATGCTGGGTACATATGGATACATGCCCAAAATCCCAAGAAAGAATGGAGGAGAATGGATTGTGGTGTGGCCATCCCTCTTGGGGGGTGATTTCTTGCTTTCTGCCTCTGTCTCTCTCTGTCTTTCTGGTGAGTGGATGCGCCCTAAAGCAAAAACCTCTCTTAAAAAATAAATAAGTGATAAATAAAACATTTTCAAAAGAGAGAGAGAAAAATACTGTGAAATCCTAATAACTGTGGTCTAGGATGGGAATATGAGAGTTTTCATTGTACTGTTTTCTCTGTCACAGTCTTAGAACTTTTCACAAAAAATGTTAAAAATCCATTGCACCACACAAATGACGCGTGTGTGGGAGGGGACTGTGTTTTGAGGTCTTGCTCTGTCTCCCTGCCTCAGCCTCCCGAGTAGCTGGGACCAGGCACATGCATCATTGTGCTTGGCTTTTTTTAGGGTGGGCCAGGATTCAAACCTGGGCCTACCAAGTGGTCTCAGTCTGCCAGGCAGCAGCACCCAGAGCCATCTGGGGCCTACGCACAAAACGTTAATGAGAACATTTCCGAGTGCACTGAAACTTCACTTGCGTGTGCGGTTCAGACATCTCTGTCCACGTATCTGAGCTGTAAAGAGCAGACAGTTGATGGTTTCGCTGTGCCGATGAGGGAAAGGGCAGACAAGCACGCCACTGAAAAAGCCGGGACTGCAAATGCCCAGGACTGCCAGGCCCACAGCCCCAGCTAGAAGGAAGCCCAGTGACATGAAACCGAGTCTTGAGTATACGAAGGTGTAGACCGCTATCACTTCTTCCACGTTTCGGTGCTAATGCCAGCCTCTTGGATTCCACACGTATTTGGCCTCTGTCCTTGTTCCTGGCGCAGAGCTCCTGAAAGCCTTGGAATCTCCCAGTGACCCATAATAAATTAATGCCTGGGGCTGGGGGCCTCCACACGGCTGCAGGATGGAAGGTGGCCACTGCAAAGACCAGGCCAAGGTTAGGGCGCTGGGACTTCTGGCACCACCTCCACCCCTCCAAAGACGGGAGGGGACTAGAAACTGAGCTCAAGCACCGATGGCCAGTGAAGTAGCCGCCATGCCTACGTGAGGGAACGCCACGGTCCAGGGCCTTCTGGGCTGAGGGCCACGCTGCCGTGCTGGGGAGTGGTGTGACCAGAGAGGGCAAGGCCGTTCTGCACCCGTCCACACCGCGTGCTGCGCGTCTCTTCCGCGTGACCGCCGCTGGCTGCAGCCTTGCTAACGAAGCGGGAAATGTGAGTCACGTGTTTTCCGAGTCATTGCAGTGAGCTGGCAGAGCTGAGGGCGGGGCTCTGGGGGCGCCCACGTGACAGCCAACCGGTCCTCGGACCCGGGCTGGCGAGTGGGTCTGCGTGGGAGCGGTCTTGCGGGACTGAGCCCTCAACCTGTGGGGCCTGCACTAACTACCGTAGGGTGTCAGAGCGGAATCAAATCGCTAGACTCCAGTCGGCGCTGGAGAATCTGAAAACACGCAAGATGGAAACATGCCTTAAAACAGCAACTGGGTGGAACCACTGGAGTATCTAAGATTTTTTAATATAATTTTAAGCATTTTAATGTTATAGTTCCTACCAGAGAGATTTAAATTCACAAGGAACCACTTTATGTACCTTCCCCAAATTTCACATCTAGAAAACTGAGAAATTAGACATTAGATATCGCTGGTAACTTAACTTGAAAACACAAATTTCCTTCTGTTCTCATTTATGAAGACTTTCGGAACAGTTTAGTTCAAAGCACACTCTTGAGTATAAGCCCGAATTGTTTGAAAACTTACTACTTGTAGGACCGTTAGGTGGTGAGGTAGTTAAGGCACTGGACTCTCATGTGGCCAATCGTGGTTCAAGTCCCAGACTTAGCAGCTTGCTTTCTCACTTTCTTACTTTCTCTCTGTGTGTCTCTCTATCTCTCTCTCTCTATCTCTCTGGTGAGTGCTCTCTTTCTCTCTGTCTCTCTCTGGTGAGCACTCATGACCTATAGCAAATTGAAAAATAATAATAATCGTAATAAATAAATAATTAAAAAAACAACTTATTACTGTAACTACTAACTTTAATAAGGCAAGGTTTGCTCAGTTAACCTGTAACCCAAACACTACTGAAATAAACTAGATTTTAATTAGATTCTTGATATTGTCTATGTTTCAATCTCATAAATCTCATTGTTTTTTTGGTTCTGCTTTTGTTTTTTTGGAGTTTTTTTTTTTTTGCTATAGGACACGTGCACTCGCCAGACAGAGACAGAGAGACAGGGAGAGATCACCCCCAAGGGGATGGCCACACCACAGTCCCTTCTCCTCTATTCTCCCCTCGGGATCTTGGGCACACACGCACACACACCCGGCGTGAGTTTAAGCCAGCGGGTCCGGGACTCGAGCCACGGTCGACTACATGGGAGTCCAGTGACACAGCCATTACGCTAACTGCTAGTCCCATAAATCTCATTGTTTTAAAACTAATGCTTTTGAGTCTTTTTTAAAAATTGCTGAAAGGCACCTGCACTTGCCAGAAGGACTGAGAGAAAGCGAGGGAAAGCACTCCCCGGCAGAGCACGGCCATGCCACAGGATTTCTCCTCCACGTCCCCGTCCCGTCAGGATTCTGAGAGCGCGTGCACACGTGCCACAGGGGCCGAGACCCAAACTAGGACCGGCATGTGGGCTCTGCTCCCTTCACCCCTGTGCTACAGGCCGGCCCTGCTCCTGAGCCTTTACAGCTGAAGTGCCGCCTCAGTC